TCTGAATGCTACACTGCATATCTGTACTTCATATAGATCCTACAGAGAGTCCTGAAGCAGATTTCTGCACCACTGGTCACGTAAGTGCTACCTCAAGATCTGGTCTCACAATATAGCAGCTTTTACACATTTCAGCTACTGTCTTTGAGAAAGGAAGAACTAGCTGGCAAAGCAGAGATTAATTCCAAACAGGTTTGTAACAAGTCTGCAGTCACAGCTAAAAAAAAAAAAAAAAAAAATGGGTATTTTGACAGCAGATGATGCATTCTCTTGGCTTTTTATCTCAACATTTTGCACTAAAAAAACCACTTCTGGACTATCAAGGAAGAGGAACCATAACCGTGACTCATTTCCTATGACGTGAAGTGGTGCAGCAAACACAAAACATGGTTCAAACACAAAAACTACATGTTTGTAGGTGAGCATGCTTTCAGTGCTTTTTATCTCTGATAGCTCAGCACAGGAGATTTTTATGCCAGAACCCTTAAGACGCAGAAGCAGAGGGGACACAATTTCAAATGTTGTATAGGTTAACAACAGACAAGGAAGAGCTTTGCTCATATTGATTTTTATTTGAGGATTCAGAGTTAAGCTCCGACTATAAAACACTTCTACAATCTCAGACTTTACAGAATTAAAATTTCAGCTACAACTGAAGACTTCACCAAACAGAAATCTAAAAAAAAATCCGCATTTATTGACATAGTACCCTAAGTTTGCCAAAGTTAAGTTTATGGAAATTCATATTTGTTCACACAGCCCTGTATCACTAAAGGCAAAATGGGATATTTTGGGAGAGAAGCGAGGGAATGGATGTTTGGTAGAAATTCATCATTTATAGGGTATTGTATACTCCAAAACTACAACATTTAAAGCAATTAGTATAATTTTAAAGGAAATTTCAACATTTATGTGAGATTGTGAACATCCTTAAAATTGACTGAGAAACTCAAGATAATGTAGCTTACCAATACAGATCATAAAAGAATACTCTAAGCACAGGTAAGCTTAAAAGTGAAATCATGTATGCAAAACTTTTGCATGATAAGCCATGTTACTTTAGGCATTAATCAGAAGCAATTTGAAACAATACAAAAAACCCCATGAGCTTTATCTAATAATCATAAGGCAACAAAGACTGAAAAGCCAAAGCAAGCTAAAAATAGTTTGGTTTTAATCACTGCCTAGTTTGGAAGAACAAACTACTGTTTTTCTGCAGCTCTGTCCTTGGTACTTCACAGTATTAAAATACATGGATTTCTCAGTTAAAAAAAAAAAACAACAGAGAAAGAAATCTCAGTTTACGCTGATTTACTACCCTATGAAATCTAGCTGAAGTCAGCAGTGCTACACTGCTTTGAGATGCTGGCTTTGAGATTTATTTGTAAAAATTACCTGCAGCGCAGTCCCAAGATGTCAGAGAAGTTATTCATAGGAGGCCGCTGTATATGTATTTTTGAAGTACAAACTATCTTATTAAAGTCCTATTGTAACACATTCTCCATTTTACAGTATAAAACAACTGAAATCCTTTCTGCACTGAAATTGCTATAAAAATCTCAAATGTTGTCAGAGTTGCCAGGAATTTGCCCTCAGTTTTTCATAAGTTTCAGAAAACAAGCTTCCAGACAAGACTTCAAGTCCTTAGTCTGAGCTCAGGTTTTGCAAATTCCAAGCCACAGATCTACAAGACAGACTGGGTTACAACTATCCTGAGGTATAACCCATGCATACATTTCACTTATTTGGACCTGAGAAAATGTCAGCAGAACAAATCTGTTTTTACCCATACCTGAAGTAGTGACGAAACACCAATTAATGTTAGCAGGGTTTTCCCCCCTCATTTTTTCCCCCTCTTTTGTTTTTATAAATTAAAATAATAAACATTTTTCTGCTGGTCTCTAAAAGGAATTTCTTTAAGGTAACAGAATTGACACATCTGAACACTATGGGAAATGACATGAATGAGACAAACCTTCAAATGGAAATTATGTAATTATGCAGTCTAAATTAATGTGGTTTAAATTGTCCTAAATGGCAAAAGCAGCTATAACTCAGAGCCATAAGGTATAACTATCAGAAAATAAAAATATACCACTGAAATCAGCCATTCATCTAATGTGTTAAATCCTCTATATTTAAATGCATTTATAGGAAATTGCTAAGCCAATGTCACATTTTAGTTTCTTGAAAGAGACATCATCAAATACTTCTATTTATGTAGTTTCTCTCTTTGTTTACTACCGGTTACAATTTGTGAGTTAATCCTTGTTATTTTCCTCAATCAGATAGCACTTTGTTATTGCTCTCTGTGAACAGGTGTCCCTGCCCATGGCAGGGGGGTTGGAACTAGATGATTCTAGGTCCTTTCCAACCCTAACGATTCTATGATTCTATGATTCTATAACACTTGGCTGCATGTGCCAATTAATCTGTAACAAATACTGAGATGTAAGATAAAAAAACAATAAAGAGCATGTGAGACTACAATATACATTGAATATTTTATGTCCAAAATACAGTAATTAGAAATGACTGTAAGGATGCTTTTTTTCCTAAAGTTCCTAAGTGACCACTTCAGTTTCAAAGGCACACACTAAAAACCAGAAACAACAGATCTAACTGGCCTCTCGTAAGCACATGTAAGACACATTTTTCCATTGCACAATTTTTTGTAAAAGGCTCCCATAGAACCACGCATGAAAGCTGGGCCGAATTTGCAAGGGAGCTCTTCAGAGTATATGCTTAAAATAATCACTTCGTTTGGGTCTTGTAATATCAAAACACACTCCATTCACCACCTAGTTTTCATGCTAGATATGGAAGCATCCAACACATGGAAAGACTACAAAACCAAAAAATAAAATGATGCAAGATTTTTCAATTTCAGCTGAATAACTAACAGTTGTGTGAAGCTTTTTATTTTAAAAGAAAAAAAATTAATTGTATTTAGTATAGTAATAGCTTAAGAATTAGAGATCCTTTTTTGCATAAGCATATGTATACAAACACTATATAGCAAACACTTTCCTCTGAATATACTTCCTTAACTTTCACAGGTATATATAAGGTAACTTCATGCCCTACATATTGTAACCAACATTTCAGTTAGATTCCTTTTATACAAATTCAGTAGAACTTCAAGAAATGTTCTATTCAACAGAAATCAAATTCTTTAGGTGTGTATGACTGGAAAGCTGGAACATTATCAGCTTGTTCTGAGACCAGCAGAACTACTGAAATCTGCTTTCTTTTATATCCCTGTGTTTATCGCCAAACCCCTTTCCTCTTCTTACTCTGGTATTAACTTCAGTTTCCCTCTATAAAAATTTATATAAAAATTTTAATGGTTGTAATTTTCATCCCCCAAATGAATGGCGTATGAGAAATTTAAGAGTATCAATCTGGTCAGATTTTTCCCTACAATCTTCTGCTGTGTTCAGAAGATATTCTTTAAATGTGAGCAGAAGGAGTTTCTTCTTAAAAATATGCTTTTCACACTCTCCACTGCCTAACAGACAAAAAAAAATTACATATGTGTGCAACTGATGTTTATTAAAAATATACATGTTTTCAGATAGTAGTTTGATTTTGGAACAGAAATTCTATTATTATTTTGAGCTCCCAGTATGCTTAACTGTACAGCAGATTAATGAAATGGGCAAATTATTCCTTGTTAAACATGGAAAAATGTAGAAAAAAGTCTATTATGGTAAACTTTGTTTTGGATATTATAAATGACCATTTTAAACTGGACTTACAGGCAGAACATATTTTTATTTAAAGGGGCCTACTATTTGCATTTAGGTTTTGTACGTGTCTTTTTGTACAGATACTTTTCACACGGGACATAATTTTCATGCTACTACCTAAAGTACAGCAGTCACCTGGATATAAGGTTAGATATAAGGAAGAAGTTCTTCACTGTGGGGTGATGAGGCACTGGAAAAGGTTGGCCAAAGAAGTGGTAAATGCTCCATCCCTGGCAGTGTTCAAGGGCAGGTTGGACAGAGCCTTGGGTGACATGGTCTAGTGTCCATGGCAGGGGGGGTGGAACTAGATGATCTCAAGGTCCTTTCCAACCCTAACTATTCTATGATTCTATAATTCTATGATTCTGTTCTCTGCACACATCATGAAACAACTCATAGCTATTGAAGGTGATGAGCCCATTTGTAGCACAGCCTCACTATGGGGGCTTGGGCTGGGTGGGTGGTGGCAGGAGGGGAAGGAAGGGTGAGTCCCAGAATGACTAGCAGTGCTGTGCAGGGCACAGTGAGATGCCCAGCCACAACACCTAGAGAACCAGCCTCTGCCCCACTGGGGAATGCAGCACTATCTTGCCTCAGTGAGAAGCTTAGCATGACACTAGCTTTGGTGTTCATGGTGTGGTATATTAATGAGTTGGGAAATCTTTATAATTATTTTGATGCTCATGGTATTTATTCTTTTACCCCCTACAACAGGATTCTGGTAATTAAACTTTTTTGAGCCTATGCTGCTCTGAAATCAGTCATAGGAGAAAAGCAATTTGCTATTTTAACATTTAAGTAAGCCCTCTGGAGCTAACCAAGGGGTATTGGTTTATGCTAGGAAGTGCTTACACCCACTCCACCCACCAAGTATTATTCAGACTTGAAAAAGAAGTCTAAATAACACTTCTACATTTTAGCTGAGTCAGAAACAGATGGAGGGCTACTGTTGCCAGCTCATGTATATGCACTTTGTTCAGTGTGAGGTTTTTTTAATTCTTTTTTTTTTATTCTTTTAAAGCAAACAGATCTGTGAGCTTACCTTCTCCATATCCAACACATGGATATACAATAAAGTTGACTAAGTAAAGGTCCTGTCCACTCCATAGTTTAAGGATCACAACTAATGAAATAACTATACAAAGCAACAGCTATAATATCATCTCGATTTCCAGCAAGTAAATCAATAGCTCCATTCACAACAGGTTTCACAGATGGTCCAAGCCCAGGAAAGCCACATATACTTACAAATTATAAAGCATATCAGCCATGTTGCTGCGGTAGTACAAGGCATTTCTATAGGCGCTTTCAGCTTCAGAAATCTTGCTCTGGCTCTTGAGAACATTTCCAAGGTTACCCCATGCTGTCAAGAGGAGAAAACGGTACTCAGAAAGAGCTACAATCCAATTACACATGACAGAGTATGCAAGTATCAGGAAGTTCCTCAGGGAGACAAACCCCACAAAGAAACTATTTTTATGGAAGGGGAGGGAAGGTTGGTCCTTTTTTTCCCTGGCTCTCTGGATCTCTGCATCTTACTGTGAGATTCACATTTCCAAGTGGTGATCTGCATACATTCTGTGTACATATAGCTTTCAGGTGGGAAAAGGAACTTTAAAAACAAAATACGTCTCTATGATTTAGAAACTACAATAGCAAAAGGAAAGGACCATTTTATTTTATATCACCTCTAAATAAAAATCCAGAGTGAAATGTGGAACTGGGGCATCTTCATAGCTTTAGCTTTTTTTTTTTTTTTTTTTTTTTAAGCTATCTACTCTAAACAGCAACAAATTTTCCCAGAGCAGGCACAGCTCTCACTGAGGTATGAAAATTTGACAAATGATGCAGGAATTGAAAGAATGGTTAGGTAAGTAACCAGGATTAAAGCACGCCATATGGATATAAACATACTATTCAGATCACTAAAATGCATTTTTTGTCTACTTGGAAAACATATGGTTTCTTTCCATACAATTTATTATGCTATACAATGTGCTTTTATATTCCATCTATAAAGGACTTGAGGTAAAAAATATTTAAGGCTCCACATGTATTCCCTTTGCAGTTGTGTTGAGTGGCACAACAACTGTACTTAAAAAAGAAACTGGAAGTAACATTTTATGGAAAACACAGCCCATGTTATTCATAATTTAGGAAGCTAATTTAACTGGCATTATAATTACAGTCTATGTGTATACATTACAAAAACCCCACATTATACTTTCAAATACATTAAAGTTGTTTCATAAAACAGTTCTACTTTCACAAGTATTCTTTTTATGAGCAAAAACAATGGAAAGATGATGCATGCCCTTTCCACCAAACACACAACATACGGCAAACCATTCTTCCCTCCAGAGGCACTAAGTATAAACATTAGCTCAAGTAGCAGTTAAAGTCTACTGCTTCAATTACTCAAGCAGATCTTTTTACAGGAATTTGTATCAATCCTGAACAATACAAACTTTCAATGTAGTTTTAACATAACACTGCTAAATAGGTTTATAATTATTCCAGATACATGTTTTTTCCTCAGAAAGTGCATTGCTTTGAATTTGCTCTGGTCTCCTGCAGAAGCATCCTGCCATAGGGATGAAAAAGCAGCAAACACCACTTTCCTCTGAGCAGAATAAACTAATCATTGCTGGGAAAAAAATGATGGAGTCCTTTTAGGAGTAACAAAAATAATGTCATCCAACTGTGCACAACAAATTTTGTAAAGGCAAATAAAAAAAAAGTAAATGTAGTATTGCTATGAGAAAATAAAGTCTCTTCTGTGAGTCACTTCATTTTAGACTAGTATTTCATAAGATAAGAAATAATTCAGACGATATTTATCACTAAATCGATAAAAGTCACAAATGTTCCATTATACTCCTGTTTAATGAAATAAAGCTGCTAAAAAATCAGAAGGAGGTGACTACCCAGCTTATAAGCATTAACACTTGGAAGAAAAGAAAAAACAACCCAGATTTTTTTTTTTAACTAATTTGTGAAAACACTCTCTGATGTTGCTTCTGCAGTACAATTTCCTGTAGTTGTATGTTCCATATAATCTGTAGCTACTTTTGTTTTCAGTCTGATCTCCCATAAAAGAGCACTACATCAAATGACCATTTTGACTACTATTAACAATTCCCTGCCATAGAGTTACTGGCTCCCAACCACTTCGAAGCTCAGTAAGTGAAAGGACGTATAGAAGAATGATTCGGTTCATCTTTCCATCTGTTAAGACTGGAAAAAAAACCTATTAACACTGTTCAACGTATTAGTTTCTCGTCCACACTTCACGCTGTATGCTCCATTTTTTATCCAACTTAAGTTTTAAAGCAATACTTTATTTTACATTCTGTGAAATAATCTGTCACCTTTTTATATCAATCAATATTTAATCTGATTTCGTTTGAAATATATTCCACTTAGACTTTTGTTAAAACTTGTAAAACCGTGAACGATTAATTTAACTTAATGTAATATAGTAGAAGAAGTGATAGTAGCAGAAAACAGCAAACATAAACCACAGTAATTTCACAACTTATCGTTAAAAGAAACATGTAAACCAAGGGTATTTTACTTCCTCAAACTATAAAAGCTTAGTATAAATCTTCACATCTATTTAAACACAGAATTAGATGAATGACCTAGTTCTGGCTGGAGATGAAGCTACAGAGAACATTTTGTAGAATAAATGCTTACATTTAGAGCTCATACTCATAGCCCTAGAAGTTATGAACACCTATTATCTGCATCAGTCACATCCTCTTGGTTGTTATTATATGACGGAAAGAAAAAGAGGATGATCTACATGGAAAAGAGGCTACATCAGCTACTCAACAATATTCACTCCTTCTTTTGTCTTAGGGAACACAACTAACCTTAGGGAAAAAAAAAAAATCAGTTAGTACCTACATCTCTGGCACCCGATTTCTCAATCCACACCTCAAAACAAACTTCTGCAAAACTTTAGTAACACTGGTTCAGCTATGCGCACATTCAAAAACAGAAACAAAATTATACCTGAATGAAGCCACATCCCTATTAAAAACATTCCCTATGATTTCAGCTGAATTTCAGCACTCAACTGTTTTTCATCTGTGCATTATGAGAAATTAAAAATTAAATCCTCAAAAAAAAGGAAACTAGGTCAATAATTCTGGAATTTAGAATGGATTTTTATTCCACTGATTTTTTATATATCTATTCTTCATATAAAATCTGTAATACCTGAAATTGCAAAAGGATATATTCATAAGAATATATTAAGTATATTCATAAGTATATATTAAATATTCTGAATATTCTGAATATTTAATATTCAGAAGATGCTAAAGCATATTTATATATATATACACACACACCACAACTTAATCTTTAATTACAAGTCCAATTTTTCTCCTGTTGGAGCCCCTACTCAGTACAAGCTGTGAATGAAACAGCTTTGTAATATTTACTTTTTGACTGCTGCTTAATTCCTTCTGCAATGAAACCAAACCAGTCCCAGGTCTTTGAGAAATAATACTCCATCATACCATGGGAACAAAGGTAACATTCACATATCTCGCACACCTACAAAACAGTCAATCCATTCAAACTCCATTGCCTATTTTTCCATAGATCATAATCAATATAAATGGGAACATTTTAAATTAAATCCATTCCATCATCTTGTATCCTAAACCAATTATAAACTGAAAAATCTCTTAATGCTTGAGAATCCCAGTGCTTTGCAGTGCAATCCCAGTGCAAATTCCTTCTTTGCAGGAAAATAGATCCTTTTAAAAGAGTTTTGCTGCTGAAGATTTTAAATAAACAGCAGAAGAAATTCTGTAGCACTAAATAGGAAAATAAACAATTGTTTAAAAGTTACCATTTTGGTCGAATCAAACTAGATTTCTATTAAACTTTAAAGATTATATTTATGCTACCTTGCAGTGAGAGTAGGTCAACTTCCCAGTCATTTAATTGCTTTCAAAATGAAAATGAATCTGACAAATTTCAGCTTCAAATTTAACATGATTAATTTCTTAACTACCTCACTGAAACTGAGAATTGAGATTTAACAAGCCTGAAAAATAGCAGGTTGGCATGCAAAACCTTCTCTAGCCTTCATTCTTCAACAGAACAAGGCAAATAACAGTGAAGCAGGAACAACACTGTCCACTCCAATCTGCCTGGATCTATGAAACTTGTCTCTTGCTAAAGGAACAGTTGAACTTTCATCTTGCAATTGAATTATGAAGACAAATGACAAACGGAAATGAATGTGTGCAAATATCTTAATTCAAATAAAATTTTCCCTATCTACTGAATAAAGGATCATGATATGCTATTCAGTGAAATGGAAATAACAAGGAACAAAGTAAAGTTTCAGAGAAAAGTATTCAGGTGATGTAAAAGCACATATGCTGACTTCTTCATCCTATAGTTTGATATAAATAAATAAATAAATAAATAAATAAATAAATAAATAAATGTTAACAAAGATAACCCAAAGTATTAAAGGAGGATTCTCCTTTCCCCGAGTCACCCTTATATAATCTATGAAAAATAGGACAATAAAATCTATTTGGAAGCTCAAAACCTACTGAATGTAACTGAACACCTTTACTGAAATATGGAGAGGAAAAAAAAAATCCAACTAAAATTCCTTCCTAAATCAGTGAAATACAACCTGGTAAACTTTTACAAATATATAGGAAAGGGAAAGGGAAAGGGAAAGGGAAAGGGAAAGGAAAGGAAAGGAAAGGAAAGGAAAGGAAAGGAAAGGAAAGGAAAGGAAAGGAAAGGAAAGGAAAGGAAAGGAAAGGAAAGGAAAGGAAAGGAAAGGAAAGGAAAGGAAAGGAAAGGAAAGGAAAGGAAAGGAAAGGAAAGGAAAGGAAAGGAAAGGAAAGGAAAGGAAAGGAAAGTGCTTTCTTTCCCGTTATGTTATGCCAGTGGGCAAACTGCCGTTTGTAAATCTTCCTAGAAGCAAACACTTGAAAATGGATTAAAGAAACATTCAAAATTCACATCAACAAATTACTGAAGTTTTCTAATACTGTTTTCACCTTAAACTATCACTCAGACATATTCACAAAATAAAAGTTAAAACTATCAATCAGACTTATTCACAAAATAAAAGTTAAAACACAAAGTGATGAACACATTAAAAATGTTTAGCACTTGAGTGGGGTGAACTTGAACAAAGACTGAAGTTGTTTAGGGAACAGCAAAGTCATTTGTAAACAACTTGTCAGCAGTTCCAACTAGCAACTTCAGTTCATAGAAAATGCACATCAAGCCAAGAAAACTTCTATAGAGCTTTACAAATATTTGTGCATTATATACTATTCTTTAGCTTGTGAAATTAATAACAGCAGT